ATATTATATGGTTTGTCTAACACAGGAGCAGGGACCATAAGAGAAATCAGACGACATGGTGCAACACACATTTATAATTGGATCATTTGATTTATTTATTTATTTATTTATTTATTTTTGTCTTTTGAGTTCTTCCTATAGTCTGGATATTAGTCCTATGTCAGATGTATAGCTGATAAAGGTTTTTCCCACTCTGTGGGATTCCTCTTCCTCACATAACTGATAATATTTAACCTAGAAACCCATAACTACCCAATGTGCAGAGAATAAGAGATTGCAGCTTGCTTATCCTTGCATAAGGCTCCTTTAACAAACCACTGCCATCCAACGCTCAGGGATCACAGAAGAGGCAGAGGGTAGGGTTGTGGAAAGATAGTAAGAGCTGGATGTGGTTGATCAACTTAAGGAAACAATTTTCCAGACATCTGGGGAGTTTCTCACATGTGCTTATACCAATGGTTAACAGCATGCACAAGACCCATGTAAGGTCAACACAGACAAATCATGGTGCAGAAGTGGGGGAAGGGTAAGACGTCCCCTTCACTGAGAAACAGATGACAACCTATAACCACCGGGAGAGGAAGAGTAGGCTTTTGTGAAGGCTGTGACACCAGATAAGTTCACTAGAGTTCAGTGGATAGACCCACACCAAATGACATTTTGTGAGAAAAACATGACTACATAGGTCTTAATATGTATGACAGGGTGCATGAGGCTTAGATGACAAAATTTGCAATCTGCTCACATTCTATATAGGCCTTTGAAGGCTCTTCCTAATAATACTTTGTGTCATAGAATTTCTGTGAGGATTAAATGTGTCAGTTCTAATAAAGCACTCTTTAAGTGTCTAGGACCACAGCTTCGGGCAAATGTTTTGTCTTCCTCTAACTCTTCATGCTTTGTTTATCCTTATTACAATCATATATTTATTAATGAAAAGATCTTTAATATAGGTTATCAGTGCTGGTGACAAAAACATCAATGAAGAAGAAATTACATGTGTGAGATGTGCGTGCATGGTGTTTAATTTAGTTATTAGTCAGATTGGTTATGGCAGGAAGTCAGAGGGGAGAAAGCTTAACAATTGTGCAAGACTGAAAGACTTCATCATAGCACAGCCTGTCCTAAGAACAGCTACCAGCTTCTGAGACCCTCTTCTGTGGCTGGTTTTCAGGAAAGACATAGAAGACAGCAGATCAGTTAGGGAGGACAGCACAGGTAGGTGACAGGCCAGAGGCAGGGCCAGGAGAGTCTTGAACCTCAGGAACAGTGACACATGCTTGGTAACGTAGCCTGCTGCCTGCAGAGGAGCCCTTAGTAACGTATCACAAATACAATGCGATAACATCTCCTAAAAAAGCATATGATTATATAGACATATACATATATATTCAACCATGAATGTCCACTTGAGTTCAAAGTTTAAGTTGGAATTGTAAATGCAAGCCAGCAGGCAAGGCAATGTTTAAGGAGTCTTCTGCGTGAGCAGTTTGTGAATCCAACATTATAAAGACTATCATTTGATTTAATTCATCATCTGAATCCTACAAAATGTGATTGCTGATTACCCACTCTTTTGAAATCTTACTGGTGGCCTCACCTGCGGCAGCTTCTGTTGTAACGTACCACAAGCAAGGCGAGTGTCCTGCTCCAGATGTAAAACTAGGTCCGAGGACCGAGCTGAGTCTGTTGGACTGAAGTGTGATTTCTGCGGTCAAGGCATCAGTGTGGCAGCGGTTGGGCTCCCCCCTTGCAGCTCCTCCTCTTGACAAAGATTTCACCCTGAAAGTAACGATACGTATTGATTTGTTGGAATTGAGAATTGAATAAATATGTCTGTGACCCGAACATTGCTGCATTTCATTGCTGTTCAAATCCTAATGAATAAGCACCACATAAATATGGAACTTGAGGAATTAATAACCCACTGCCTACTTTTTTCCATTAAATAAGAAATCTCATAATTGTTCAAACCTAACTTACTAACCTCCCAGATTCTCTCCTTTATAATTTCTTGTCTCCCTTTCCTAAAGCTGTTGAGAAAGATAACTAAAAGCATCAAAATTCCCCAAAATAAAGCGTTTAAGGTTCATCTTTCCCTGGGATTTGAACTGACCACAGTAGAATACTAGGTATGTATTCTTGTTTACTAACTGCTTGCTTCTATTTAAATTATATTTCATTAAATTTCCATGGATTTCATATAATACTTCTTAATCATATATTACCCCCCTTCCCTGTCTGGACCCCCATAGCCCCCCTGTAGGACTTCATTCATTTTTGTCATATATGTTAAGGCCTATGGAGTACAAGTTTGTGCATCCTTATGTCCCTCAGTGTAACTTTATTCACTGGAGCCTGTTCAGCCTGTCTAGCATCACTCCCTTAAAGAACATCAACTCTCCCTCATCCAGCAGCGCTCAGCTGGCAAAGTTGTGTCCAGCCCGTTTCCCTAGCTGTGTGCTGGTTTTCCTCTGGTTGAATTTGCTTGAGCCTTGTGCATGCTGTCTCTATTTAACCTCTATGTTTCATGTCGGTCAAAACAGACAAGCTTCTTTAACCTAGGCAGTGTGAATCATATCATTCCTTTTGGTTATCAC